GGAGGCCCAGCACCCGCTCGTCGCTGGGCTCGCGGGCGCGCGCGCACACCAGCTTCACGTAGCAGCGCCCGCCCGTGGGCTCGCGCGCCGGCAGCCCCCACTCCAGCGGCGCGAAGTGCGAGTGGTACACCTGCAAGCGCAGCGCGCGCCGCTCACACACACACACACACACACACACACACACACCTGCGTCTTCACACCGTTCTCCTGGCAAACTATTCCTGCCAAGCAGCACTGCACGATGAACTGCCTGCCTATCAGGAGCACCACCATCCCAACTGTGCAACTTCAAATAGGATATCGCACCGCATGTTCATTGCCAAAAATTGGTCACATTAAATTATCTCGAAGTTTGTCACATTTATTCTGACTTATTTATGCTTGTGTTATAAATAATGCCAGAGAATAAATGTTACAAACTTTTATGCAATGCTGGGAGGTAGAAGATATTCGTTTGTGGCCAATGAACAAACATTGTGAGAAATTTCATTCCTTCATTTCCTCATGTGATGTTGGGCCTTGATGGTAGGCAATTCGCATTGCATTGCTGTATGGCAAAAAGCGAATTCTTTTACTGCTCCCAAAAAAAGACTCGTAGTTCGATCGTTTATTTTCCAAGTTCGCTCTAGTAACTCTTGTTATATTGTGCACGAGTATTACTATACATAGATTACGTCGTACGTGCTGCAACATCGGCGCCATCTCTCCAAGCGACACCTGCGTGATCGAGTAATACTTCTTAACAGGCTTCTTTCCTTTACACAATACCAACGTAAAGCGCTCGAGCAGTGCAATTGCACAGATATAATCAAAATTACTGTTACACGCTTCGGCAAGTCGGGTTTAGCAAGTGACCCCTCCTAGAGCAGGACGCGAAGACATTTCGAGCAGATCGTTCTCTGTGTCGAGGCTGAGAAAGCTAGTTCTTGCGCCGCCATTATCGAGAACGAACGCTTCCGACACTAGGTTTCTTATCGGGGTGCAGACAAACAGGCAACGATAGGCAACGAATTCAGGAAGCGTTACAGATATATACAACTTTTATTAGTCAAACGTTTCTCTTAACTATCTTAAACACATTATTTATGCTCAACGACGAAAAGTAAAAAAAAAACTCGATTGCACAAGGCTCGTTGCAAGTCTTTGCATAGTTGTACAACTGAAACTACGCGAGCTGGAAGGCGAGGTAATGTTTTAAAATTATTTTTATTATTAAAATTAATTAAAACATGAAATGATTTTTTCTCTCTCTTTTTAAGACAGTTCATCGTGCATTTCACGAGCGAAACATACTGAAACTGCGGACGAAGCGCGTTTCGCCGATACCACTGAGAAGCAACAAGCACGAGCGGTGCCGACAATTCCGACTCTTGCAAGAACCTCCGTACAGATTTCACTGGGAAATGCGGACCGCGCTCGCCCTCCGAGACTGCGAAAGCAGGCCGCCGAGAACGACCAGTAACAGAAGCGTTTTGTGTAGCTGTGTGGTTATGCGGCTACGTGGGGAGCGCCTGCGTGGCTGTTTTGCTGTGTCTGAGTCGCTGAGCGGCTGTGCGGCTCGCGGCGTGTAGTTGTATGACTGTGCGGTTGGCTCTGTAGGAGTACGTCTGTTAGACTGTGTGACTGAGTGTGTAAGGTTGGCTGAGCGGCTGTGCGGTTCTGTGCCTGTGTATCTCTGAGTCTTTGTTGCGACTATGTAGACGACTAGCGTGTCTGCACTCTTTCTGCACCGAGCCTCTCTTACTGACCCCACTAAGTCGTACTCAACTGCCGGTGCGCGCATGACTCTGGAGATGGCTGTGTTGTTGAGCATGTGTGTGGCAGGCTATGCAACTTTGTGGCTGTGCGTCTCTGAGGCTGGCTGTGTTGCTGTGCGGCTGGTTGTGTTGTTGAGCATGTGCGTGGCAGGCTATGCAACTTTGTGGCTGTGCGTCTCTGAGGCTGGCTGTGTGGCTGTGCGACTGGCTGTGTTGCTGGGCGTATGTGTGGGGCAGGCTGTGTGGCTGTGCGACTGGCTGTGTTGCTGGGCATATGTGTGGGGCAGGCTGTGAGGCTATGTAGCTGTGCGACTGGCTGTGTTGCTGGGCGTATGCGTGGCGCAGGCTGCGTGGCTTGCCTGCACGCCGTCCGCGCCGAGTCTCTCGACGGCCTTCTCCTCGCTGAGCCCCACGAAGCCGTACTCGACGGCCGGCGCGCGCACGGCGCCGATCACCAGGTCCGCTGCGTTGGGCGACGGCTGGTCCGGGGTGATCACCAGCGGGCCCAGCAGCATGCGCGCCAGCGCGGCGCCCTCCACGGCCGACGGCCCCACCTCGAAGACCGGCGCGCCCGCCGCCTCGGCCAGCGCCAGCCACGCCGCGCTCTGCGCACGCCGCCCGCCCCGCCCCGCACTCACGCCTTGCGCTCGGCCACCGGCGCCGCGCGCCATCTGCCGCCTCCGAGCGGAGTACCGACCTACCCGACGGATGGTACACGAAGGCTTCCGCGGCTCGAGTTCATGACTTCTAGGCTGTCCGGGTGACTCCGCGTCGTTGGCTGAGAGGCAAACGTTTCGCCTGTCTTATCGCAGACGACGGTCACTACCCTGAAGAAGCCTGCGATAAGACAGACGAAACGTCGGCCTCTCAGCCAACCACGCGGAGTCACCCGGACAGCCTAGAAGTCACTACCCGACGGATTGCCTACACAAACCAAGTGTTATTTGTTTACGCTAAAGACGTTACCATCGCTACAAAACTCCGTTACTATATTACTGCGGGTTAGCGAATCGCCCCAGAAGTGCATCAGTCATACGAAAACCAAAGTTACAGGCTCACATTCCATTCTCGAAACACGCCAATTCTTGATTATACCTATATTCTGTCTGATTTTAGGTTGTTGGACAGGTGTATGTGTAGGCCACTCTTTGATAGCCAAGTCGCCAAGTAGGTGACCCGGCAACAATCCTTCGCCCAATTTCACTCGTTCAGCACTTTTCTCAAAACTCTTGTCATGAGCAGAATCTAGCCAACTCACCACAATATCAAATATTACTATGATTACTGGATACCTTGTATTATTGAAGAATTTAATATGGTTCAGAACCTTACGATCTGGGAGAGACTGTTCAAATTGTTGATATTACGAACGGTTCTGAAACTTCAGAAATTATTCTACCCACTATAGCTTGTCTAGATGGCGCAATCTGATAAAAGATTTAATTTAATGTGCATATCTATATCATATCAACAATAACATTACCGCGAAGATATTCTAAAGAAATAAAATATCTTGGGTGAAATTTTGTAGAAAGAATCCGAAAGAAAATGTATTGCTATTAGAATCTTCATGAGACGATGAATTAAAAAGACTCTAAAAATGTCATCTTTCGTCCATGAGCGGAATGAGAGTAATTAAAACACTGATTTCTCGAAACCATCTTCTAAATTGTTTTTCTTTATATACTTTGCAATAGATCATCAACATCTCTCATATATGTCTTGTTTACGCAAACAATATTTTTAGTGTAAAACTCAAAGTACTTCAAGATATCATCGTCGGAGTTTGCGATGTTGCAAAAACGTCAGTCAAGGCACAAAGTTTAACCAAATCTGGTTAACCCTCTGGCGAATGGGGAATACTTAAGACTACAGGCGACCTTCTTTACAAGAATGATTGGTCACTCATTCGTCGCTCATTTGAAAATGAGGACTCTTTAAGGATTGGAATATTTTACTTAAGGAACACTCATTATAAGGAACGAATATGAATTCCTTCTAAAACTGACAAAGTAAAATTTTGTAAGGGCATTTTCAGTAGAGAGAATCATATTTTGTACGGTGGTTATATATATATATATATATATATATATATATATATATATATATATATATATAAACCAGGTACAATGACTGATGGAGATTTGGGTTCAGAAGCATTTTTATAATTTATATCTTTATCGGGGTTGGTACTAGTATTTCCTGCCGAGAATGTAAATTATATTCGAGGTAAAGAGAAGTTTTTGCGTTGCCTGACGTTCTACCTCGCCTTGACGTTTCCTCTTAGATCTCCATTTCACTTCCTACCACACGCCCTCTTAGTTCTCCAAAAGTGCGGTCATGAGAGAATTAGAATTTTATCAGTAATTACATTTGCAGGTAAATATAGAATTACACTCATATGTCGAGTATTGGCAGGCTGTTACTTGAAAGCCACTACGACAAATGAGTGTACATTTGATGCAGCACTTGAAGTTGCTGTTATAGTTGTTGAAATTGGTTGCTGACTATTAATTGTTCTTACTGCTACTGAATTATGATTTGTTGTTGATAGTTGTTCGACAATTCGGTTTTTCGGTCGATTTTTCCATTGTGAGCAACGCCTTCTGAAGTAGGCCAGGGCGGAAACAATTGGACTCAATTATTACACAGTTGTTCATGATACTCGGCGTAACATTCTTGTAAATGAAGTCAAACTTGATTGACACCGTTAACCGCAGTATTTCGACAAAGTTCACATTGATACTTGATATCTCACTGCAAGTTCAACGCGCACCCGTCTGTGTCGCCCCTCTGCCAGGAGAGGACCTCGACTGATGACAATGCCTTCGAACGCCGGCTCTCTTAATAAATCCAAGTTGACAAAGATGACTTCGATTATTTCATCCTCGATAATCGGGTGACTATTATTTTAGACAAATAAAATTTGAATCATATGTACGTTATTCATACCGAATTTCTTCAAATTTTTCAAACCAAATTTACATAAGCAAAATTGATTACTTACGGTTTAATTCAATAATACTCAGCGTGTCTACATAAATTATATTTAAAACTATTTGCACATCAGACAACGGCAGTGAAAGACTCCATTTCGACCCCCCCCCCCAAGAACGGTAGCTGCACTTCTGTCCAAGCTCACGACACGCACGCATGCAACAAACTGTCTCAGACAAAATGGTAAAGACCTACAAGAACTACGTGCAGTTGCCATGGACTCGAGCTCTCTTTGGCCTTCCGTACCGACTCACGGGGGCAGCTGGCGTCGCTGCGGAAGACGGTGTCGTAGTCCGCCTCGGAGCGCGCGCTGCCGTCGCGCCGCACGGCGCTCACCGCCACGCGCCCGCCGCGCTCGCCCGCGCCGCTCACCGACTCCATCTGCCCACACACACACACTCCTGGCACGTCTACAAAACCACACACCAATGCTTTTGAAATGAGTAAAAAGGACACCGCTTAAGAACAACGAACAATAATTTCGTACAAACTGAAATAATTTATTTTCTCTATGATTGCACTGTCCCTTAAAGTATATAAAGTTTCACACATCCGTATTGACCCTTTCTAGTTTATAGACTGCACGATTATTTAAAAAATATAAGTTTATAATATGTTAATGTTAATAAACATGTTGATGTTTTAATAACCTTTGTATTTGTTTCTTTAAATAACCTTCTAGTCTATAAACTAAAATGAGTCAATACGGATGAGTGACTCTTGGAAATAAATTAAATTAATGAAACAACAGATATTTTACTGAAGTTGGTTTACGGGGCTTGGTCAGCAACAAAAAATTATTTAACACGTGGTTGTTTGCCAACGTTTCGGAAAAGTATTTCCATCCTCAGGGCTATACAATTTGCGAAAGAGATAAGAAAATTATATAAGGCCACAAAAAACAGTTAGTAATAACGATATCTTGATACAGTTGAAAAGAATTTAGAAGGAATTAATACATGATTACCATACCTTGCAATCACCACCTGAGTACACACACAAACCAATAAACCGTTACATATTGCGTACTATAAGTACGTAACATTACGTAATATAAGACAACGCGTAGTTCTTAGGGTGTGGAGCGCGCTACCCAAGAAGACGGTGAAGTATTTCGGTATTAAACCGTGCAAAGGTGTAACGATAAGATCTTCAAGCGACATAGGGAAACAAAATATCCTTGGTCACTCCTGAATGAACAGGAATATTTGATAACAATTTATGAATAACTTGGCGTGGCTGTGCTATGGCCTATTCATTTTCTTTAGATTTAAATTAACAGCGTAGTTATAAATTCATTTTAGTATTCACCCAGGTAATGAGCTCATTGAAATTCACAGTTTTGTAATTTTCAATGATTAAATTAAAAATATGTTAAAAATTTTAACTGAAATAAGTGTTCCTTTTGGTTAAATTTTCATAAAACGCTCCATTCTATTCCCCTAAAACAAGGTATCCCACAGGAGCTGAGCTAGCAGGCACGCCTACAAGGCGCCGACGTCACAAGTATACGCGTCGACACAAACGGCTTCCCAAGGGGGCAGACGTTAGAATATTCCTTACTATAGGGCACCTTACGGAATGTGAGGAAATACTTTTTTGCTTCTTCTGACAAAGCCCCGTAAAACTGATTTCCGTATAATATTTATGGTCTAAAGGGTTCCCCATGTAACAGATACTTTAATAAGAATTTCAAATACATTGCTGTTTCTTACATCGTACTACATATCACCGCATAATGTAGTGGAGCCTCGGTTATCGGAACTACAAAGATTCGAAGTTCTGGGAGACACGAACATAATTTTCAAATATTTTATTATATGTGTTTTAAATCTAAAACAAATAACAAAATAACGATGTAAATGGAGACACTACTACAATTATTACAGTGTTTAGAAACACTAACATTCAAAGAACTATTTAATCATATATGCATACACTAAAATACTGTGTCTTGTAATTAGGAACAAAAATCGTAGATCTTTTGACGTAAGGAAGTTCATATAATTGAGGACACGATGTTGCGTAACGGAATAACTACCACGCATAAACATCATGTCAGTGGTATTGTCATGGCGTTGATAGTACACATAATGCGTGCATTGTACTGAATTTCCCACATAATCGGATTTTTTTTAGATTCCGAACAGTGTTGTACTTTACGTTAATACTTACTGTAATTACGTGCAGATTTCTAGAGTTTCAGTAATGGTATCAGATTAGCAGGCAAATATTGAATCTAGATAGGAACAGCACTGTAATGAGTTTTGCAAATACTAAGTACCTACATTGTGTATATAGCTAAAGCACTTCTAAGAAGCTCTAAAATGCATCTTTCATTTAATTAAACCCAATTAACGAAGAGGTTAATGAAGTAAAGTTTTGTTTGTACTATTATTTTATCTTCATTCACTTTTCGTCAAATAATAATTACCGAAAGTCGATCACAAGAGTTTGGAATGCCACAACTGATATCGTAGCTTCGGTACCTGATATCCGAGAAGACAGGTCACGCCGAGCTTCTCTTCCATATGTCTCCGGAGGAGCTGCGCCAACTGACGGTCGAGTCCTGGTAGAAGCTCCGGTTCGTTTGCCAGCACTGTAACCTAAGCATACATGTTTTCTAGTTCCGGACGCGCAAGAGGGTGAAGAAATGGGGCGAGTGAGTGAGCGAGTGGCAATGCTTTTGAGTTCTTATAAACCTTTGTCTTTATAAAACTTAAAAATTGTCAATATTTTTCATTGTCCAACAATGCATAGGTTAAAATTAAAATCAAACTAACGCGATGGGATCAATTTGATTAATTTATATCTAGGTTTCGACATTAGCTTCACTGATTCATGCCGTTAGAAGAAGCGGCCATGCTTTAAATTGGAAATGTTGCCATCTGCAATAGAAAACAAGAAACCAACAATTTAATTTTTTTAAATTCCAGCAAAGGGTTCCTCTATGGAAAAAAGCTCAAAGTAGAACCCCGTCCGTCTGTCGCCCTCATAGTAAAACCCCTTCCAGTTCACCAACGCGACAAAGGTGTTGATCGACGCGTTTAGGCCTTCTGCTGGAACTAGTAATTGAATAATTTCTTACAAGAACCATACGTAGTACAAATTTGAACTTTTTCTGGGGACACCAAAAACTCATAGTGTAGACGGGCATATTAATGAATTTAGATTTTCCCGGGCCTTATATCTTTGAATGTGTTTAACATTTATTTTTATTATAAACCAGAACAAAAACAAATTTTTACATACAAATACCAGCTGGAGACGTATTTGCCAGTAAATACAATTGTACGGTCCGCGCTTTAATGGATTTGGATAATAGATTTTGCCATTCAAACAACGGATACGTAATCAACGGTCACAAGACCTTAAACAGAGACGAACAAACTAGGAGACAGACAAGAACAACAGACAAGAAATTAAACAAATTCATCTTCATTGTTGCCAACATGCATAGAAAGCTATTAGTTAAAGAAAATTCACGAATCTACAAATTCTGCAGAGCAGAAAAATAACAAAATTTCATATCTTTAGAAACAAAAAGCTTGGAGACAAATGCGGCTATGTTCTGTCTTAAAATATAAAAACCACCCAACTAACAAAAAAACGTGCCACTCAACGTTCGAAAGTACAGCATCTACATTTAGACCTTGAGTTTTAAACAATTCCTTTTACAAAACGCTACAATGTAAAATGCACAAACTATATAATAGTTTATTACTAAACACAGCTAGCAATTTAGCGCTATTTGTCAGAAAATGTACAAAACTTTGTAGAGGAAAACGCAGAAATCAAGATAAATGCACTATCTTCAATATCGTTGGATACTTCAAAATTACAAACAATGTAAAGAGTAAAGATTCTTTTTTTTTTAATTCCATAATTTATTCAATTTAAGCAATTAAGTAATTTCAAATCATAAATAAGCCATCGACCTAATTTTCGTTTCTATAAAAATTCAAAATAAATAGCAGCGAGGGCCGACAGACAATAGACAAAATAACAATCTACAGATTCCCCTTCACATATAAATACAAACACATAAACTTGGAACAAAGATTAATACTAATATCAGAAGGAGTAAGCTATATTAGTTGTCAATGTTGCTGTTTACTTAATTCAGTTCAATGAACCCGAATGATCATGAAGTTACGTAATTATAACCTGCGCGCCGAGCGCCGCGAGGGCGGCGGAGGCCTCCACAGAGCGCGTGTCGGAACCGATGACGAGCGTGCGCCCGGGCGCCCGGCCACGCGCCAGCAGCGCCGCGGCGCCGCGCGTTCACCCGTAAAAGAACCATTTACTTTCGTCAGGCTCATACGAAAAAACAGCCGGCGCCGCGACAGATCCAGACGCCACGTCTTGCGCTTATGACCGCATTTCCAGCCGCTCACGGCTTGCCTGGACGCGCGCGGCCGCGCTATTCTTTTGGCTCCCGGCGCAAGCGGTCCGCCGCCCAGCGCTTGCGCGCGCCCGTCCTGCGCACGCCGCCACCGGTCCTCAACGCTACAGGACGTTATGGAGAGCACTAGCACCCCGGCCTGCCGCCCCACAGCTCAACACTCCAACGTGAGCAATCGCACTGGCGCTCTCCGCCACCACAAGCCTCAACACCATCCAGGACGTTATTAAAAAGCGAGCTCTGTCAACAATATTCAACAGCGCTGAGCACGCCCATCCTGCGCACCCGCCCCGCAGCCTTCACACCTACAGGACGTTATAGAGAAGCACCAACACTCCACGGTCGCTACTCTCTCCGCCCCACAGCATCAACACCACAGGACGTTATAAGAACACTCAAAGCGCCCGCGCGCCACGACGCATAGCGCATCTGCCTGTCTCTGCGCTCTCCCGCCCGCGAGCCTAAAACCCAATACGTTATTAGAGAGCACTCAACACTCCACGCGCACGCACGCCCGGTCCTTTGCGCACCTGCGCTACTGCCTCAGCACCACAGAACGCTATAGAGAGAACTCCGGCACCTCTCCCGCCACCCACATGCTGCGCACGGCCGACGCTCTTCGCCACACACCTTGAGGTAATGCACCTCGACACTACCCCAGGAAAGCTAAAGAGATCAGTCGGCTGTCGTCACTCACCCTACGCATTCCTACGATATCCACCAAAACCCATATTCTGCGCACACCCGTCCACCGCACCGCAGCGCAACCGGCACCGCACTCTACACCCTCAGAACGAAGCGCTTAACACCTAAGTTATAGTAAGCACACCACCGCATCCCCCGTTCATCGCGCTCCACACGTCTATCCTACCCCACTATTCACACATTATGTGATTGTTGGTTTCGTCACAATGAGTTTAGGGCGTTGCGTTGCCTGCATCATTTCTATATATTTGTTGTGTGCTTTGGTGATTAAGATGCGTTGATAGTTGGAAGCTGGTTACATGTTGATTTCCGGGCTATGTCTACGTGCTTTGTGTGAGGCGGTTGCGTAGAGAGTGTGCATTATGTAAATGCGTTCAATTTGTGTGTGTTGTTTCTATACCACTGGGTGCTTGGGTGTGTTTGATGTGTGGTTCTTGTTTCTATGTATGTCCCTATCTGTGTGCTCTGTGTGTCCGCTTGCTTAATCGTGGGAGCCGTGCAGAAGTGCTTGATGTTATTTTAGTATTTTGTGCTTACGTGTGTGTAACAAATTTTTCCGTACTGTGTGTGAGCAGTGAGCCTAATGTCTGAATTCAATGTGGCATGCTGTGTCATCAGTGGCTTTCTGTGAGAAGTGTGCTTTCTGTGTGAAGTGTGCTTGCCAGCGTGAAGGTGCGCGTCGCAGTGTGAAGTGCGCTCCGCAGTGTGAAGTGTCCTGTAGAGTGCTCGAGGGATGCGCTCGCGTGAGTGTGAAGTGCCTTTGTAAGACGCTCGCAGTGCGCATGCCTGAGTGCGAGTGAGTAAAGTGCCGACATTAACTCGCGCGGGAAGTGGCTGATGTTAAGTGCGCTCGCGTGCGCGCAGTGTGGTGCAGTTGAAGTGCGCTCGCAGTGTGAAGTGCGCTCGCCGCGTGTGAAGTGCGCTCGCAGTGTGAAGTGCCGCTCGCCATGGTGAATCGTTGCGCTTCGCTGGAATGCCTGATGCAAGTGCGCTCGCAGTGTAAGCGCTCGCAGTGTGCCAGGCCAGTGTGCAGTTGCGCTCGCAGTGTGAAGTGCGCCTCGCAGTGTGACAGTTGGCGCTCGCAGTGTGCAGTGCGTCTCGCAGTGTGAAGTGCGCTCGCAGTGTGAAGGCGCTCCCAGTGTGAAGTGCGCTTCCAGTGTGAAGTGCGCTCGCCAAGTGTGAAGTGCGCTCGCAGTGGGAATGTGCGCTCGTCCAGTGTGAAGTGCGCTCGCAGTGTGAAGATAGCGCTCGCAGTGGTGAAGTTCTGCGGAAGGCTCGCTGCTCGTGCGCGCGCCCACCAGCACTGGACGTCCGCGGGCGTTGAGCTGCGCGCGCCGCCGCTGCGCGCCCGATGGCGAAGCTGCCGCGAGCGTCCGCAGCGTGCTCGCAGTCGTGGTAGTGCCTGCCGTCGTCATGGTCTCTGCGTCGCGCTCAGCCGCTGCCGCCGTTGCCGCTGCCGCTGCCGCCGCTGCCGGCGCCGCCATCCGCCGCCCGCACCAGCCGTAGAGGCGCGCCGTTCGCGCAGGTCGAAGCGCGAGGGGGCCGCCCCGTCAGACAGCGGCCAGCGCGCACAGTCCGCGCCCACGCCCACGCCCGCGCTCCCGCCCGCGCCCTTCGCCTCCGCTTCCGCCTCCGCCGCCGGCTGCGCCAGCCCGCACCACATTGCTAAAGCGCACACGTGTATACCTCGCAGGCGAAAATGGACTCTTCTCATTGCTCAGAATCTTGGAGACGTTCCAAGTAGCTGGAATCGCACACACTACGGCTGTCTTCACATGGAGCCACTCAGCAGCGTTTGCGAGAAGTGCCACGCCCCTTCACACCCATACCGACAAGGGAAAACCGAGGCTCGGAACGAGCGAAGCTCAGTGGCGCTTCCGAGTAGTCGAGTGCGAAGGCCACCGCTTAGAACTGTGCGCTGTTGGTGGCGGAAGGGCGACACTCGTGAGAATACCACCATTTAAGCCAATGCTTTGCCATCGGACATGCCATTCAGAAGCGCCCCTCTGAAGTGGCTCCGTCTCAAGGAGCTTACGTTGCACTTCCAATCACGAGTAAACAATCGGGGATGGCGATCTAAGAGTCGTAGAATCACGGTAGGCTTTAGGAGCGTCGGCGATCAGCTGTGTGATACCAAAAATATTCGGGACCAAGCTAACTAGCAATTCTTAGCGTATTGCCCCTTCGAATATCCAATCTTCGATCTTCTCGATTAAAGTTTGCGGCTGTTCAACACACTTTTTTGTGCCGAAAATACCATGCGTTCGTTTGCACACTACCAGTCGCGCTAGAACCTGCCGCTTTTTTAATGCATTTGATCCAAGATAATTCAAAATTATGTTGGCAAACAGCAAAACAAATACTATAACACGAATATATTCTGCATGGCATAAATATGCCATGAACTTCACTACCAGGTTTAAATGAATCGTGTACTTCTCAAGAATGTGAATATAATTCTCATAGATATCCCAATATAAATAGTTCCAAACTAGCAATCTTATTATTTGAAACGGCTTCCTGATTCTGACTTATGAGAAAGTTGGTAGTTTGGGCTGACGATTGAGGCTAGAAGATATACTAGTTACGATTTAGAAATAGGTCTACCCGCCCCATACTTACAGACATTTCAAGGAGCGTAATCATTAATGGGACATATAAAACAGTCTGTTGCTAAGCTTCTAGAGCGAGAGTAGAGAAAACAAAAATAAACGTTTCTGAGGAAGATATGCAGGGTGTGGTATGCCTATCTTTGAGGGATCGATCTACAATCGATAGAATCTTAGAGGTACGTAAACAATTTTCTTAGAAAGAATCGAAGAGTTGATAACCTAACACATCCATTCTTTTCGTCAACAAGGATTTAGGTACAGACGCTTGAATTACATCAGTGTTGGCAGTGTCCGATTGCACTACCCTAAGTGTGGTATTATCCATTAATGATGCGCCACGAGTCGGTGCAACAAATGCAATTCTCGTAGAGTCCATGTCCCTGAATGAATCATCAATGACCTCTTTCACTTTAATTTAGTTTAGAAAAATCTACAAAATTTGAAACTTGTGGTCTTCTACTGAGAGAGTCTATTTGGCAAAGTTGTTGCAAAACATTACCCCATAGATAGCATTTTATTCTGAAATGAAAAGTGTGATATAATTTCAAATCTATTTTTATTGCACACTTTTAGCGACGTATTACCCCATTATTTTTGGAAAAAGAATATCCACGATCAAAGATAAAGCAACTCCATTCATATTAGTATAAGAAAAGCAGTTAAAAGGTGATTGATTCTTCTCATCACTATGTCTTTTCTGTTTGATGCATGCGCGAGAAGAATGGAAGCTGCAAATTAGTTGCCAATGAAGTAGGACAATGGTTAATGGGATATTTCATCAGAACCTGAAATAGTAGATTGTCATCTCGATTCCATCGTCATTGTGAAACATCCTATTTCGAAATATGAAGTGAGCAAAAAAATCCGCTGCTTGTTTCTTCGTTATGGAAATACTTGTTCTGAAATTTTAATTTCAAGGACTGATCTCTTCATTTATCAGAATGCTCTTTTGTCAGCTCTAAAAAGGCACGATCAAAGAAGCTCACAATTACGACGTTTTTGTTACTAAATGTTGTTGCTGCTGATACGTAAAAAAGTCTATATCGTTTTTAAGTGTCAGACCGGAATTAAGAGTAACTCTTTCTACTCCCGCTAAGATTTTGTGCATCTCGAGTGCGCGGGGAGAGAAAGACGGAGCATCGAAAGGATGGAGCTGCGCGAGGGCACCGTACCGGCGGCTCGAACACATAGGCCGACTTGAGGCCCAGGGCCTTGGCCTCGAGGGCGACGACAGCGCCTCCCGCGCCGGCGCCCAGCACCACCACGTCGAAGAACTCGGCGTCGGCGACGTCGGCGTCGGCGGCGGGCACCTCCGCGCGGGTGTCCCCGGCCTCCATGGCTGCCTCGCCGCCCACCCTGCGCACGCCACGCCACGCCACGTGGATAGCGATGAACTAATTTTTACAAAACAGTGATGCTTCGATTCATCACCAAATGGTTTTTGATGTCGATGAAAACATCGACAAAAAACATCGATGGTTTAAATTCGAGGAAACATTTCGAAGTAAAATGTTTCGGTTCTAACGTGATACATAACACATCAAAATTAATTAATTCTGTCTGAAATTTGACTGCAATCTT